GATATGTTGTATAATGATTGAATTACAAAATGCGTGATAAGTGTTATGTTTTACAGCTTATATTATTCTATGATTGTGATAATGTTATTGTTTTCTTATATTGTTTCATGAATTCCACCGAGGTAAGTGGATGGTAAAGGTTTTATCATAAATAAAAAGGATTTGTTATAAATCATGCTCCATTGGTCTTTTGTGTTTTTCTACCCACCTTTACCTCCGTGACGGTGAGATATCGTGATGTTCTTACTGGGCTAGTGTAGCTCACTCCTTATTTAACCATTTCAGATCAGGAAGACATGTTTCCCGAACCCGTTCCGCAGGAGGATGACGAAGGGGATGCCTAGAGACTCTGTAGTCATACTCATAGTTTTATTTTCGAGTTTCTCTCTTAGTTAGTTTAATCTTTTATACTTTAAGTACGTTTTTGGTTTTCGTGTAAGGGATGTTAACTGAAATTTTGTCTTCGCTTCCGCATTTAATAATTATAATATAATTTCCATTTTAAATTTCCGGGGCTGCTACATTGTTCCTCTTCTTATACCAACACAAATGCATTTTTGATTAAAACATAATACCACCTCAAAAATAATAACATCATAAAAATAAATATATATTTGATCTACATCGAAAACAAATTTATCTAGTTCTATTGGCACATATGGGGTATTTGTGTTCAAACAACACACATTTTTAGTTATTTTATGACTGTACTTTGATTAAATAATTACGAAGATGGGTTGATATATCCTTACTGGAGTCAAAAGCTGATTGTCGCCCCAAGCAGCCACCGGTCGCGGTGTGCACACCTCTTCCACTCTGGTTGATGTTTTACTACCTAATCTATATTGAGGTGATTAAAAATGGTCCAAAAAAAAGGCAAAAATAGAGAAAATGGGAGCAAATTGTGCTTATCGAAGTCGATTTGTATTTCCAACACAGCAATGTCGTCATCGCTTCGCCGTATGCAACTCTCTTCGGCATCCCCTACCTCCTCTTTCTGCACCCCCTGTCGGCTAGAGTTTTTTTTTTTTTTAGAGCTAATGAGAGAAGAGTTTAAATACTCCTACCCACGATATCCCGATTGTCCAATCAAGTTGACGTGGCACGTAAAGGGTCATTCGATCAAAAGCACACGAAATGCCAGAGTGTGATCCTGCGTCAGATTCCCTACTAGCATGGCCACCATTCGGCATGACCCAATTGGTTGAGCTATCACGTGAGTTATCCTATGTGGCTTGCTTTTATGAAATTACAGAGTGACCCTTGTTCATTTAAAATCTTTTCAAATGGATTATTTTTTAATTCAAAAAAGGACCTTAATTTTGAATTTTCTTTTTAAGGAAGTCATAATTTAATAATTTTATTTATATTTAATTTAATTAATTCAAATATTTAAAAAAAAAAAATCTCTCGTAACTTATAAAATTTACTAATTTCTAAAATCCTGGCTATTACAAAAAATAATGAATTAAAAAAAGTAAAAGTAGATAGAATTAAATAAAATTGAAGGAATTCAGAATAAAGAAGGAACCATATGTAATTTAATAATTGATTTTTTTTATTTAAAAAAAGTAGTAATTCTATTGAACAAAAATAATAAAATAAAATATTAATAAAAAATCAATAAAATCAAAAGGTTGAAAACTATTATTCCAATATCTTAAAAACCAAAAAGATGAAAAGTTTTGAAATAGAAATAATGATGAGACTATAAGATTAAAATTAAGGGCAAATTGATGAAAATTAAAATGATTATAACATGTTTGAACATTGTTAAAAAAAACAATTTTAAATAATTAACTAAATTAATATATTAATAAATTAATAATAGTAATAATTATATTACCAATTTATTAATTTAATTAATCAGTTAAGATGATTTTAAAAAATTTAAATATGATCTAATTATTTTATTTTTTTATTAAAAAAGAAAAGGCTAAAAATTTAAAATAAATAAAAAAATCTCAAGTATTAAATTATAAAAAAATAAAGGGATTAAATTGTAACAAATATCATATTTTAAAAATTAATTTAATACTTTATCCTAAAGCTCATTAACTAATTAGTACAAATATAGAATCATTAAGTTACCACATTATTATCTCAAAAATTTAAAATAAAACAAGTAACAAACAATGATGGAACCATCCCTTTTTTTTATTTTTG